AATACCTTGTTATGATTTATATTTTCATCTTCAAAATTGTAACCTTTTGGGATCTTTAGGCTTCCCACCTTTTTTGTTTTCTGTAAAGAAAGAAACATATATCTATTTGTCAAGGAATCATTAAAAAAAACAGAAAAAACTCAACGGAACAAAGTCACAATACTATCAGCTTACAAAACTATCAATTTTGTTCAAATATCCCTTACCAACTTTCCAGCAAAAAGGTCATGAACCTCCTCATGAAGCCATATTCTGCTGTTTGTGTGCTCTTCCTTGAGGACATTTTCACCCATTCCTCTAATCAAACTATGCATATTAAATATGTAGCTGTAGCCATCTCTACTGATGGATAAGAGAGATTTTTCAATGAGACGGCTTATTTCTATCAAGTGAAGAATACCACAACTCTTAAGTATTCGTTCCTCATAATATCTTTGTTCATGACTGTACAAGCATGCGATATCCAAAAATATTCTCATCTCATCTTTATTCAATCAATCAAGACCAATCTTAAGTTTTCCTAAAATGTCATCATTAGGGATTTTCTTCAGTCTATCAATTATATCTCTCCATTGCTCTTTGTTTCGTCCACAAAAAGAAGGACCCAAAACTTCAAGAGCTAATGGGAGCCCATCAGCATACTTCACCACTTCCCTTGAAAGCTCCTCAAAATCTCTCTCTGGAGATTTTCTCTTGAAAGCATGCAGGCAAAACAGTTCAAGAGCATCATTCTCAGATAATAGTAGGACTTCATACACTTTGTTCTCCCCTACATGAGCGATTATCAGGTGCTTGTCTCTCGTGGTAATCAAAACTCTACTACCCCCGCCAAACCACTCTGTCCCTCCAACTAAAAATTTTAGTTGATTTAGATGGTTTACATCATCAAGAATGACCAAAACTTTCTTCCAGCAAAGCTGATTCCTTATAAGTATGGCACCTTCGCGTTCACTAGTTATAGGTATCTTTTTCCCCAATAGCTTACGGATGAGAGCTTGTTGTATCCATGTAAGACCCTTTTTCTGGTACATTTCTCCAACATCACCAAGAAAACAATCAGCATCAAATAGATGACGATATCTCTCATATATGATACTTACAATTTCTGTCTTGCCAATACCGCTCATCCCCCATATTCCAATGGAACGAACATCATTTGATTCCATATCCCATAATGAAATTATTTTCTCAATTTGAGGTTCCACGCCCACTAAGCTTCCGGATGACGTTGGGATAGCTTGAAGTGACTTTGGTAATATGTAATCAACTACCTTATTGATGCAATCAACCTCATCCCTACACATTACGATGCAAAGGGACACTATGTAAATTAAACAGACGTTAACATAGTGTTTTAATAGACTCTCTAAAATAAATGCTCACAATAATGCTACAGGATAGCTTTACTCATTGTTAATTATAATGTTATATCTCCAAAAATCTACTCTAGAAATAATTGTAAGCCTTATCTAGATAAATCAGAAAAATATCTTCCATCAATTATATATTCCTGATTGCATAATTTTACTGTTTTACCTATCTAAGTCCAATAATCAACTAAACGTTTTCAAAATATTGCAGAACAAAATGACGATATTATAAGACAAATCTGGAGAATCGTAAGAAAATCACGACATCTTCCAATGATGCCTATATACCATATCAAGAAGAACTTATTATGTGACATTCCTAGTACCATCGGTACATTATTAAAAAAGCACATGCTCAAGGTCTGTTCATTAAATTTGTTTTTTAATTATAAATACAAGTAAACCGACTACATGTCTCTGCTTCCTGGATCGGATCTTCTTTTCTTTTTACGCAAAATACACAGATGATACTTGTTTGGACATGTAACTTAACTTATAGTTTGGTCCTATTTCCTCCTGTAAAACAAGAAAGCAGAACAGAAAAAGAAAAAGAAAGCATACTTATAATTTTTTAGATCATGTCCTGATAATTTTCCAGCCTCCGCAAATGCATCCCTCCATCTTTGAACCTTCTCCATATCATCTTTGTATTTTTCCTCATGTTGGGAAAATGACTCGGCAAATGGTGGATTTTGATGGCGTACATCAGATGGACTCACATCATAAAAGATTGGAATCACAGTCTGCTCCAATTCACTTTGACACTTTATGATGTGTGCAAGCTCCTCTGAGCACCATTTTGAGGATGCATAGCTTTTTGAGAATATCACGACGGCAAATCTAGACTCTTCTATGGCTTTCAGAAGTTCATAAGAAATTGATTTTCCCGTTTCCAGCCGGTCATCATCTTTGAAAGCATGTATTCCTCTCTGTTCTAGAGCATTATAGAGATGACTCACAAAGTTTTTACGTGTATCTTCACCTCTAAAGCTCAAAAAGACATCATACTTCCAATCTTTGGAAGGAGAAGCATAAGACATTGTTGAAGAATATTGCTAAAGATCAACTAACAGTAAATTATCAGCTTTTGGTATATGGTGAGAAAACTGACACAATTGGGTTGTTGAGGTGCTTAATAATTAAGGAGAAATAGTTGAAGCCTAAGAGGCAAATCAGTTCTCATCTATGTGAATGCAGAATTTGGTCTTCCAATCTGTCATAAAATTGAACCCTGCCTTTATTTCATTATTAAAATGGTGCACTAAGCTCCCGCTATTCAGGAAAGATCAAGAAAAGCCAAAGTTGGAAAAGACGAAGAAAAACAAATGAGAAGGCAATCAACACAAATTCTTTATTAGAATTAATACTACTTTTACTTGCAGTTAAAACATTGAATGTGAGACTGAGATTGTACAAGTTTTATCTAAATCACAATAATTAAGAAAGTTGTTGTTAAGAAAATGGATAACATCTGGAGGTTAAATGGCAGTACATGTTACAATAATATTTTAGCATATGTGTGCACTAGCCTGTAAATAGAGAGCTGTATAAATACAGTATCTAAGTACTACTGTATATTTTAGGCATTGATACATTTTGTTAGAATTCATGTTGTTTTAAGCCGTTAGACTTGTCATTAAGCTCTCGATCGACGGTGAATGTACTCTGATTTAGTATTGTTGATGATATCTAAGTTGTTGTCACATTTTAAGTCAATGTCTGGTATGAAGTCTTCTTATCATTCCATATTTGTACTTATATACATTTTTTCCACACGTTAATTTACACTGCTTTATAAAATTAGGCCGAGGTAGTATGTTCCATCACTGTCTCTGTGACATTATTGTGAAGAGGTCCAACTCCTAAGAAGGTCCCAGGGAACTATTTGTTGTCCACTTTCTTTTGTTTTTTTACTTGAGTTGAACCTGAAATGGCATGGACCAACCGACCAAGGCAAATTGAACACATCATTACTACGTAAAACTATCTTATAAGTGTCAAATTCACATTTAGTGATAGCTCACACAATTTGGGGAGTCTACGCAACATAGCTCAAAAGTATTTTTCAAAAAAGTACTTTTGGCGAGAAACAGTTTGTATTTGGCTAATTAATTTGAAAATTACTTTGGAGCCGTAATTACCTAAGTTGCTCGGACTCGGGTGCGGGTATCCGATACGGGGACGGATCCGAGTATCGGATTCGGCAAAATCTAAATTTTAAGATTCGGGGGTGTGGATCCGGATATGGATACGGCTGCGAGGATTCTGTTAATAAAAAATAGAGCTATAAAAATATTGTAAATTTTGAGAGATATTCTGTGAAAAACTTACATGAATATTGTAGAATTCAATCTTTCATTCTCCAAGATGGACATTATTCTTTCATTCTCCTAAATCTGTTTTATTTTTCATTTTGAGAAATAAAATTCTCAATTTTTCTCCCAAATTTGTCGATGGACTCCGGTCAAAGTGTCCAAAGTCAGATGACCGAATCCGGGACGGGGACGGTACCAAAATCGAAGAGTTCGTGCAACTTAGGTAATTACTGTTTGGACAAACTTCTAAAAAGTGCTTTTTAAGTGTATTTTTCTCAAAATTGCTTTTCGAAAAAGTGTTTTCGGGGGAGAGGCTACTTTTTTCAACAAGAATTGTTTCTACTTCTACCCAAAAGCATTTTTTTTTCTTTTAAAAGCTTGGTCAAACAACCTAATAGCATGTTTGGCCAAGCTGTAAAAATCAGCTTATTGAGAAGTGCTTTTTCTCAAAAGTGCTTTTCTCAAAAGTACTTTTGGTGAGAAGCAGTTTATGTTTGGCTAATTAATTTGAAAAGCACTTCTGAGTAGCAATTAGTGTTTGTCCAAGCTTTTAAAAACTGCTTCTAAGTGTATTTTTCTCAAAAGTATTTTTCATAAAAGTGCTTTCGAAGAGGGTACTTTTTTCTGATTCTCCAAAACTGCTTCTGCTTCTCCTCAAAAATATTAGCTTCACTTCAACTTTGAAAAAAAATACTTGATTCCAGAATTGAAGAAGCTTGGTCAAACAAACTATAACTCTAGAAGAAAAAGAAAACTTTTGGCCAAACAAAACATTTGGCGAAAAAAGAAGCTTGGCCAAACGGACGGTAAGACTTTTATACCTTTTTCACTATTCATATTCTTTATGGGAAACTTCTTATCACCTTCCTATTTCATGTCATAAAAATTGTAGTCCAACTTTTTCACTATTGTAGTGAGAAATTAAAGAGTGAAACAAAGAAGAACGCCTGAAAAAGGAGCAGTGATGAAAAAGGAGAAAAAAAGTAAAGTTGAAAAGAGAAAACAAAAGGCAAAAAATTACTAAAAGGGAAGCAAAATTAAAGAAAATGATGCTCCAATCTCGCTACCCAGATGTTTACACGCAGAAAACTCAACAAAATTGGTGCTTAGAACAATTAAAGAGTGATAAAAAGTTAAAACTTTACCTTTTTCACCATAGTTAATAGGTGGTAAAAACTGACAGCAAGTTGTGGAGTTGGAGTTGGCTTTGGTCAAGGATCAAGTAGCAATAGAGGTGGCGCCGGCGGAGGAAGCTATCCCAAAATCTCTCTGATCTCCTCATATCGCCGGACTTCCGATGGAAATACAATAATTTATAACAGGTTACAAAAATAGTTTGGATAAAAAACTTTTAAAAAACTTGTTGAATTCCGATAAGAATCATGTTATCTTACAAGATGTTAACCAAATGCATAACAAAATGTATTTAACTTTTATATTTGTTAAGTCTTTCCTAGCCTTAAATTGGGATTCCTAGCCTTAAATTGAGATTTCTCAAGTTGGAAGTCTAGTAATTCTTGCATAAGTAATAATAACTCGTTTTTTATCCGTCTTACATACGGGTCGGATAGTAATTAGATTTGGGTGTAATTGAATGTAATTACACAGTTTAACATGTTTGTTTGACCAAGTAATTATTTAGTTAGCATAGAATTTGGTGTAATTGGAAAGGTGCAATTATAATTTGTGGTAATTATATTGTGTAATTACATGGTTACTTTTTAATTTTTTTCTTTTTGTTTTTATTTTAATTTATTTTCTTTATAACTTTTTATTTCTATTATTTTAATT